ATTGAAGAAAAGAAAAAAAAAAAACCGAAACTCACCAACCAAAATAGATAAATAAAACATATAAAGAACATAATATTTAAACTTGGTGCAAAAAAGTGTTCTTTCTGGTACTAGTGTCCTACAAATTTCCAACAACAGACAGACTTAGTGCTCTATGGACAGAAAGTCCCAAGATTCCATAACTAAACTAATTACCAATTTCACTCCATCCACTCTATTTATCTAAGTACAAAAAAACACTTTCCCCTTCACATTGATAGATTCTTGATACATCTACAGACACAACCGATGCTTGCTATTATTCTTCCAATTATTTCATTGCAGTATCAGAAAATAAATAAATAAATAAAGAATCAGCCAAAATTCCATCAATTTCACAACCAATGGCCTACGCCTACCAGACACACACCACATAAAAGAGCATAATCAACATATTTACACGCACACATACAAAGAGAAAAAGAAACTCAGATTACCTGCAGCTGCAGGGTGTGAAGCATGAAATTCCTCACAATCTCTCCCTCACCCTTGAGCAAGAAGGCAAAAGCCGAGGGCACAAAATCCCTAATGAACACCTGATCGTAATTGAGCGGCAGCTTATCATTAGGATCATTCGCCGCCAGAGTCCCCACTGGACTCCCGCAATAGCTCACAACAGCATTCCTCAGCAGCCTCCACGCCTCCTTTTCGACCTCATCCTCATCCCCACCCACCCTAATTTCATTCAAACCCTCATTTTTAACACCATTAGTCCTGTGATCCTCGAATTCAACTCTACTATCATCCCCCTTTTTTGTGGAGCTCTCATCCAAATCGACTTTATCCAATACTGGCTTGATATTAAGCCCGCCCTGCACGTATATCCTCTCAAAATTCTTGTCGTTTGTATGGCTCTCAATCGAGGTCGAATAGCTGCGGACATCCAACGAATAGCAGGCAAACGGATAAAGGGATATGTTGCTTGGATTAGAGGTTGAGAGAGTTCTTGATTGGCCCCAAATGGACTTGAACCCGGAAAAAGGGGGCGAAAAGGTATTGTAATCAACTTTGTGGGTGCTTGAGTGGAAATTAGACAAACTCGTGGTGCTGGACGAAAAGTTGCGAGATTTGGGAAAAGAGGCACCGTGAATCGGTGTGTTCTTGCAAGTTAGCAGGAATCGAAACCGGGGCTTCATGTTCATAATTCTGAAGTACTTCATCTTATTTCTTTATCGGAAATTAATGCTATCCAAGAACAAGCAAAGAAGAAAAGGAAATGAAGTTACAGAAGTTACCTAGACCGGAAGAAAAATTAATCGGATGCCCATAAGATGTCTGAAGAAACAGGTGATTCAAAATTTATCCATTTATGTAATTAATGGATGGATTAAAAAGGGGACAGGGGGCTAGATTTCGTGGGGAAGAAGATTCTATATTATTCAGAGAAAAGTAAGGGAAGGGATGAAAACGAGCGAACCTGAAACTTGAGGGATTGAAATTTCCAGGAATGGAAGTGGAATTTAAAAGTTTGCTGGGTTGGCTGTTTTACAAGGACGGTTAATT